CTCACCCGCCGCGCGCACGTGGTGAAGGGTGGGAAGGCAACCGTGCTCGGAGGAGACAGTGTTCATGTAGGCCACCTTCACTGAGTGTGCTTTTGCTTTTGAGATTTTCGTAATCGTGAGGAATACATGTACTGGAAACTGTACAGTGGGGCGATCGTGCAGTGAGCATCCAGGAGTACAGCGCTGGTCGAGGTGCAGTGTTCACGGTGCGGCAGAAATCAAATGAACAAATAAAAATATGAAGGACTCCAGAAGCACGCCCCTCTTTACCTAGGGGTGCCGGCTTCAGCAATGTATTCTGAGTACTGCCGCGGACTGATTTATATGAAAGAAGCATTTGTGTATCTGAAATTCAAATTTAACTGAGCATCTTGCATTTACTTTCTTTTTTTTGGAACCGGGGATTGAACTCAGGCCCTTGCTCTCTGGCCCAGCATTTTCTGTGCCAACCGGGACCCTCTTGACATTTTGTTTTAAATTTATTTATTTGTGTGTGACCAGCTGAGCCCACCAGGGGGCGGGGCTGGCTGGCATGTGATGCTGTGGAATTGAACCGCGGTCCCTGTGCTTTGCTAAGCTTGTTCTAAGTAGGTGCTTTAGACTAGAGCCATCTCACCAGCCCCAACTGGGACCCTCTTGATTGGCCTTTTCCTGCTGTGCAGATGTCAGCACCGTCCTGGCTTCTGTCATTAAGTTGTGCTTGCTTTTGAACTTTATCTGTTGGCAATGGCTGGTGTGCTTTTGTGACCGGTTATTTTGTTTTATGTATTGACATTTTTTGAGACAGGGTCAACTATGTAGTGCCAGCTGGCTGCAAACTCAGCGAGCCTTGTCTCAGCCTCCCAAGTGCTGGGATTACAGGCGTGCACCACCACACCTAGCCTGGGACTGGTTCTTTTTGTCTCTCAAATGTTATGTTTGAGAGATTTGTCCATGCAGCTCTCTGTAGAGGTGTGCAATTTGGACATTTTCATGCTCTGGAGTGGTGGTGGCAAACCTGTGGAAGGAGGGCTGCAGCCCGCTGTTGTGGAAAGCTCTAAAAGGTTCGCCCTCACTACTCTGCAGTTATTTCATTGTAGGAGCACAGTGTCATCCCCAACTGGCTTACTTGCGGTTTTTAGAAATTGTTTCGCTGTGATTTTTCTTTTTTTTTTTTTTTTAATTTTTATTTATTTATTTGTGTGTGTGTGTGGCCAGCTC